CCAAGAGCGTTACTTACAAATACGGAACATCCCGCCCGGCGTTGAAATATGAATATGTTTCAATAAGGAAAAATATATATAAAGTTACATCACTATTCTTACATATGAAAGTAAAAGAAATAAAACAACTAAATAATTATACAATTAGTAAATGAATACAATGAGTGTAATAATTAAACAGATACAATGAACATTTCAATTCAACTCAAAATTATCTACTATAGGCAAAATGCAAATTTTTGAAATTGGTCTTCGAAAATTTCCTTTCGCTGTGCGAATATCTGCAACTCTCACGTTGCCATCTGAACCTCAAATTACTCTAATGATTCGACCTAAAGGCCACTGATAAGTTGGAAGTTGAATGTCCTTCACAAGAACTAGCATGCCAGGACATAAATTTGGTTTTTTGAGCAGCCACTTTGAGCGTTGTTGTAAATGGCTCAAATAACTGCTTTGCCAATGTCTCCAAATAGTTTGCACTAATTTTTTAACCCTTTGCCATCTATTAAGAAGATAGTCTCTTTTGTCGATGAAGTTAGGTTCTGGTATCGAATTTATAGGTTTTCCTATAAGGAAATGGCCCGGAGTTAAAACTTGAAATTCGTCAGTATCAGACGGTAGGGGTGTGAGAGGTCGCGAATTGAGGATGCCCTCTATCTGAGTGATTACTGTTAAAAACTCTTCAAGAGTTAGTCTTGCGGAGCCTACCACTCTCTTAAAATGATATTTAAAAGATTTCACGCCTGCCTCCCAAAGACCACCAAAGTTGGGAGCTCTAGGGGGCAAGAATTTCCATCTTATACCTTCGGAGGAAAGCATATTCGAAACGTCTTCGCTATTATACATTAGTTTGTATAAGCGTTTAAGTTCTGCTGAAGCTCCTGTAAAATTAGTCGCGTTGTCGCTAAAAATTATGGAGCTTCTGCCACGACGCGCAAAAAATCTTTTTAAGGTTGCGATTAGAACTTCGGACGTTAAATCCGAGACAAACTCTATGTGCACAGCTTTGGTTGCCATACATATAAATAAAGCAACATATATTTTCTGAAAAGCACCCTTTCTCTGTCCCTTATATTTTATTTCGAACGGCCCACATAAATCAATTCCCGCATTTAAAAATGCTGAACTAGGTGTAACTCTTTCTGCAGGAAGGTCCCCCATAATTTGATTTGCGACAACTGGCTTGTTTCTGAAGCATTCTACACACTCGTGAACAACTTTGCGTGCTGCATTCCTGCCACCAATGGGCCAATATTTTAATCGTACAGTATTTAGAAGGGCTTGAGGGCCTACATGGAAATCTCGTTTATGATAGTATTGAAATATGAGCTTAACTAATTTATTTCCTGCCGGAAGAATAACTGGATGTTTCTGATTAAAATTTAAATTAGAATGCGCAAGTCTGCCACCTACCCTAATTAGTCCATCGGATGGATCTATGAAGGGATTAAGAAATTTTAACTTACTGGTAGATGGAACTGGCGATCGTTTTTCTAAAGCAGAGATCTCAGAAGAAAAATACTTCACCTGTACAATTTTTAAGAGCACTTTTTCCGCGTTCATGTATTCCTCCTGTGCTAGGAATCCTTTTACCCTTTCAGGTAATTTGCAGTTATGGGCAAACCTAAAAATAAATGCTAGAATTCTGATTAATTTATGAAAGTCATTAGTGATAACTAGAAAATCTTCTAAAAATTTAGAGTCATTATTTAAAGTCAAAGTTATTTTGGAAACTGGCTTCAACTCATCAATATAAAGTTTGTCGGTTGAGTCACTGGAAATTTGCACACTCTGAAGATCAGGTAAGTTTAATTTCGAAAAGTCTGGTCCTTTAAACCACAGTTCACTGGCTGCAAGAGCCTTAACATCAAGTCCTCTGGAAATCAAGTCTGCGGGATTAAGCTCTGATGGAATGTGTTTCCATTGGAAATCTTTAGATAGTTGCTGAATTTGAGACACTCGGTTGCTTACAAATGTTTTGAGCAAATTAGAAGGCGAGTTTATCCATGCTAGGGCTATTGTTGAATCTGAATATAATATAACTGAGTGTATTTCGAGTCTTATTGCAGCTATGACCTTCTGTGTAAGTTTTGAGAGAAGTAGACAGGAGCAAAGCTCGAGCCTAGGGATTGTCATGGATTTGGTTGGTGCAACCCGCGATTTACTACAAAGAAGTTGGGTAGTTACTTTATTGGAGTTAGATACATTTTGTATGTATGTCACTGCTCCATAAGCTTTTGAAGATGCGTCTGCAAATCCGTGTAACACTACGAGCCTTGCACGAACATCCAAGAAACATCTGGGAACATGAATGGATTCGATATCTGGTAGAGTTTTAATGAAGTTTTCCTATTGTTTGGACACATCTGGAGGTAGTGTTTCGTTCCAGTCCAATTGAAGCAACCATAATTGCTGCATGAATATTTTAGCCTTGGCAATGACAGGTCCTAGGAGTCCTAGTGGGTCATAGATGCGAGCTATTTGTGAAAGTACATCTCTTTTGGTGTAGTTGCAATCTGTGCTGGTGGTAACCTTATACGTAAATGAATCAGTTAAACTGTTCCAAAGCATTCCTAAAGTTTTGACCATTATCTCATCAGAATTTCGGTCAAGCGAGAATTCCTTAAGTTCAGTTGACGATGCCTTGTTGGAGCACCATTTGTGCANTTCTGGAGCTCCAGAGAGGCAGTCGTCCATATAGAAATCTTGAAGTACTGCCTTTGACGCTAAAGGAAAGTCTTTCTGCTCATCTAGGGCAAGTTGTTGCAGAACCCTTGTTGCTAAGTATGGAGCGGATGCGGTTCCGTATGTTACAGTTCGCAACTCATAAACTTTAGTTGGTGCGGTTTTACAGTTCTTCCATAGAATTCTTTGAAGATTGGTTTGCGAAGGATTAATCTCAATCATCCTGAACATTTGTTTTATATCTGCCGTAAATGCATAAGCGTGTTTTCTGAATCTAATTAGGATCGAGAAGAGATCTTCCTGAAGCACTCCTCCCTTGCACAGTAAATCGTTTAAAGAATATCCACTGGAAGTTTTTGAACTCGCGTTGAAAACTACTCGAAGTGTAGTAGTTTTGTTTGATGGGCGTAACACACCGTGATGTGGTAGATAGTATCCAGTTTCGACGTCTAAATTTTCATTCACCTCTTCCATATGTTGTAATAATTCATATTCGCTGAGGCGTTTGCATGGCTGGATCGCGTTCTAAACGCGTCCATAACTGGTCTAGTCTTTTTGATGCGACTGTCGTAGAATTTCCTAACATTTCTTCGGAAAAATCAGGTTTGAATGGCATTTCCACAACGTATCTACCATCCGGTTTCCTATAATGCGATTTCGCGAAATGTTCGTTACAATATTTTAATTCATCGCTGCAAGTTTCGTTTGTTTCGATTTCTTCAATTTCCCAAAAGTGTTTGAGAGTATTATTAAGAATGTCTAAGTTTTTAGATAAAAAACAATGTTTAGGAGTGTTATAAAAATTACTAGGAAGCTTCGCCCCCTACTCGCTGGCGCTCGCCAACCCCCGGAACTGCTTTTGCAGTTCATTTCGGATTGCTTCGCAATCCAATGCTCGCTCATTGGATACGTTCTTAACGTCTAGCTTTTGTATACTTTTTTGAATACTGAAGTTCCGAAAACTTTCAATGTAGAAAATTCTAAACCTGTACATTTCAATATTAATTCGAAATTGCAATTGTTAATTTGGGCATTTGGCGATACAACACTTATAGAATTGAAGGATTTGTTACGTCAAGCGCTCAGGTATCATAATTTTGATCTAGTTGCGCTTCTATGTCATTTTGATGTATGTTGCTAAGTTAACTTTCAAAAAATTCTATGGCTGGCAACAGCATTTTTATTATTTAAGTTGTTTGTTTTTATTTCTTTTAGAATTCGTTCTTTTTTTAGCGAAATGTTTTTTAACCTAACAGAATTCTTTGCCGATTGTTTTCTCTATAAATGATGAAAATAAAGTAAATATTTAAGTGTTGTGAAAAGAATCTTATTTAGTTGTACAAAGTACTTCAGAAAAGCGCTTTCGACAAAATACTAAAATAGAGATCTACTACTCACTTCTGCCAAGCTTAATAGTATGAGATTGTCGCAGCCGAATTGAACAACCTGATAATGCTCACTCTGGGTATTGTTTCCGTTTTTAAAAGAGCTATATGTTGAGCCTTGTTTGGCATGTGACATTTTTAGCAGCAGTCATTGGTTGATTTTCTAACGTTGCCATTCAGGGAGTTGTAGTAAGGCTTTTTTTTTGGTGCCGTGTAAGAGAAATATATATATAGATTGTTTGAAATAACACCTGAAACGAGATAGCCGAAGCAACTTGATTGCAAGAATAAGTTGTCTGCCAGTTTTATTTTATCGTCATTCAATAATGAAAAGAATAATTCTGCGCCTAATAGAATGTCTATTTTTTGAGGAATAAAAAATGACGGATCAGCTAATTTAATTTCCCTGGGAATGTTTAAGTTCGAAACATTTAATTTTTTAGAAGGTGTGAAATTTGTAATATTGGGAACAATTAATAAATCTATTTCCCACTGCGAATCCTTATTTTCATTCGATAGAAAAGCCGTTACTTTTTTCTTTATATTTAATGACGTATCATTTAAACCGCAAATAGGAATGTTTATTTTTTGTTTTTTCAAACCCAAAAAGTCTGCAGCGGAGGAGGAGAGGAAAGACCTCTCGCTAGCTGAGTCAAGGACACCTCGTAGAGGTTTGAATTGTCCCCATGCGTCTCTGACATATATTATTGCTGTGTTTATCAAAATGCTCTTATTTCCGTTACAGAAAAACGAAAGACGAGGGTTTTCTGGCACCTGCATACTAATTGATTCTGAATTGTTAATTTGTGGATTTCTTTCTTGAAAGTGAGTAGGCGTCGCGAGTCTAGTTTCATTTTGAATGTTATGACTAGCTGTCATGATTGACGGTGTGGAATATTCATGAAGCAATGTGTGATGGTTCAATTTCTTTTTACAAACGAAACAAGAACCTTTAGAATTACATTTAGATAATGGGTGAAATTCACTTAAACAATTTTTACAAAGGCGATTCTTTGTAACTAAATCTAACCTTTCGGAAAATTTCATTTCTTTAAATGTATTGCAATGATACAGAGCATGTGTTTGTATTTTACAAGCGATACACAACTTAGGAGATTTGTCTGCCTTGACAAAAAAAGATTTTGATCTATCGGGAATAAATTTAGATGGAATGTTAGTTTGAATATTGTTTAAAATTTGGCATCTCCTTTCTAAGAATTCGAGGAAATTATCAAATTAAGGCACATCGTTGTCCTTCAATGTTAATTCAAATTGTTTTCGGGTGTCTCTGTCTAATTTATCGAGTATAATGTTTAATAATAAAGCGTTGGATAATTTATCTCGCTCGAAATCTAAGATTTTTAATGATCTGAGGTTCTTTAAAATGTTATCCAATATATTACGGAGATCTTTGCCTGATTCATGCTTTAAGGGGTGGGTATTTAAAATGTTTTTGATGTGACAGTTAACAATTATTCTTTTATTTTCATAGCGTTGTTCTAACGCTTTAAATAGAGAAGAAAAGTTATCGTCAACAGTTTCTATGATTTTAGCTTCACCTTTAAGAGATCCGAGTAAATAATGCAGTTTGTCATGGTCAGAAAGTTCAGGACTGTCACTAATTAGGCTATTGAATTGCGTTTTGAACAAGTTCCATTCCTCGAATCTTCCGTTGAAAAACGGAAGTGGGATTTTCGGAAGTTTAATTAAAGCCTTTTTAGGCTGATCACAGATAATAGAATTATCAACACTTTGATTTTGCACAATGTCAATGTTTATAGTTTTTGATTTATTAATAGAGGTTTTGAGGCTTACCTCTAATTTTTGAATGTCGTCATCCACTTCGAAGAGAGAGGCCTCGACTTTCTGGAAATCTTCTTCCTCTGAGATTTTGTAGTAGTCATCTTTAAGCGCATCGAATTTCTGTTGGATACTAAGCACAATATCCAATTGAGCCTGGAGCTCAGAAATGTCCATATTGTCTTGTCCTTCTGTGAGGACATTATTTAGTTTCGTAAGCTGGCTTTTTATGCTGCCACGCTTGCGATTTAAGGCCATGATATTTGCCATATTTCAGCGATTTAGCGGAATGAATTTATGAAATTCAATCGTAAAGCGTAATCCATAGGATGTGGATCACCTCCGGCTCGACGGACCAAAATGTGCGGAGGTAGCGTAAATTGAAAAGT